CGTCGAATAGCGTTGGTGCCTGGGGGCTCGCGGCTGTATATCAGCTGTGAGAAGAACCCGTCGAGCTGGCTCTATACGGAGCCGATATCATCACGGTTCATTCAAGATGGTGGGGCAGACCACGCATGGGCCTCTGGTGAGCTTTGCTCTTTCAGAGGAAGTGCGTGAGTACGTACGGGCGGTTTGTGCTTGCCGCGATGAGAATTTGGCGATCATACAAGGGAGCCCTCGGGGGGCTTTGGAGCTCTTCGACAACTTGATCAAAGAGAAGAAACGCTTAATACAGGCAAAGCGACTTGAGAGTGTCTGTGGGGGAGCGTCTTCCTGTCAGGACATTCGAAATTGTCGTCTTTTCGACAGAGAACGGAAGCCGGTGTTATCGAAAGTTGTAGGTTTAGTACTCGAGATGCCGCGTATTGTGTGTTCGTATCAGTTGCGAGCCGAGATCGAATCCCACGGCTTGTATTTGGCAGCACCCAAGCGGGCTAGGCTGATGAATTTGACGATACCACATAAGCCTGGGGTCTGTCTAGAAGGCATTCTCTCGTGTAGCTTAGTTTCTGACAGGACCCTGAGAAGCCCCTGAAGTTGGACCTGCTCTTCCCCAAGTTGTCTCTGCTGATAGACACGTCGATTGTCGAGGATAGGGAGGCTATGGAGAGGTTTATGTCCATGACTGAACAACGGGTATGGAATGGCGGTTTTGAAACCTGTGTGCGATGTCGCACCGTTTTAGGCACCGGTTTACGCCCCGTTCCTCTTCACTGGTAGCGAGCTTTTCCCGGAGTACATCGTCGGCATCAATTTATCCGATCAATGGCGTCAATTTGTGATGGACCCATCGCTAGGAGAGTAGGGCATCTCGTCTCAGGGTTGGCTCATGTTAGTACGCTGTACAACGTTGATGTGAAGATACGTATTCCGGAGGGCTGAGGATGATGAGATTGTTCAATACAATGAGCTCGCCCCTGGTAACTCGTACAGAGTAACACTGAAGTGGTGGAAGGCTAAACTTGGCCATCTAGCAGAAAGAGATCTGCCTTTCGTAGGGTTCATATCTCCTGTGCGGTAGGATCCTTGATGCCTCAGGTCTTGCGTATTGTTGGCTTCACGGAGAGCCCCTTGGGGGACCACTGTGGAGCGCCTATTGTTGAGGTCGTGTCCGATTCAAGAGAAGTGGGTGAACCGAGTGCTGCACAGCTCTGATGTCACGTTACACGATGTTAGCGAGGTGTGGTTTCTGTATACATCATTGATTTTCGTTCATTCAGTACTGGTTTAATTAGCCAGTGTCGACACTTTCGACCG